ATCCTTCCAGCTGTCCTGGGACCCTGCCACCATACTGGGACAGAGACCCTCCATCCTTCCAGCTGTCCCTGGGACCCTGCCACCATACTGGGACAGGGACCCTCCATCCTTCAAGCTGTCCCTGGGACCCTGCCACCATACTGGGACAGAGACCCTCCATCCTTCCAGCTGTCCCTGGGACCTTGCCAGCGTGCTGGGACGGGGTTCCTCCTCCTTCCAGCTGTCCCCAGCACCCTGCCACCATACTGGGAAAGGGACCCTCTATCCTTCCAGCTGTCCTGGGACCCTGCCACCATACTGGGAAAGGGATCCTCTATCCTTCCAGCTATCCCTGGGACCCTGCCACCATACTGGCCCGGGGCCCGCCATGGTGCTCCGCGACAACAAGGCTCCAGACTCCCCATTCCGGCTCTCCCCCCTGCTGGATTCTATGGAGAAGTGGGGGGTGGACGGCTGGGGGCTGGGTAATGCCCACGGGGGAGGGAGGCCCAATCGCGGGGTGGTTCGGGCCCCACGACGGCAGCCTCGGGTCGAGGCGTCCTCCTGGTGTGGCTCCCCCCACCCACCTGGGCCCACCCCACAAGGAGTTTCCCCGAACACCCTCGTCCAACACACATCCTGCCTGGCGTCGTGGCCCGGTCCAGCTGCCAGGGCTGCACACGGGGCACTGTCCCGGTGGCACGGGCCGGGAGCACCTGCAGCTACGCTACGCTCAGGGCCGCGCGTGCCCGCAAAGCGTCCCCCGCCTCGGTAAGAGCCAACCGGCGGGAGACGACTCTCTGCAGATGATCGCGGGCTGCGACACCATCCAGGCCTCAGGCATGTCGGTCTTACAGGACGCGCGGCAGCGCGGGAGCCCAGACAGTCCTCTGGTCACTGAGTTAGCCCCAGAGCCCAAAGACGGGGTGCCCCTCGTCTGCTCCCAAGCCTGCCCACCCCACGACCAGAGCCGCTCCCAGCGCCCAGCCACTGCCGCCCGTGCCTCACACAGACAAAGCGGATGGCACGCCCTGCAACGGCCTCCTTCTGCGCCTCTCTCCAACCGTCTCTCGTCTCTCCTTCGTCACTCTCTGTCTCCTCCTGCCCAACTGTCCTCTGTGTGTCTCTCCCCATGTCCTGTCTCTGCCGTTTGAGTCTCGTGTCCTCTCGTCCAATCTCTGTCGCTGTCCTCTCTGTCTCTGAGCCCTTCTCTCCCATCTCTGGCTCTGAGTCTCGTCTGTCCCCATCTCTGTTCTGTGATTCTGGCTCTTGAGTCTCTCTCCCCATCTCTGTCTCTGTGTTCCTGTCTCTGATCCCTGTCCTCTCCCCATCCTCTGGCTCTGAATCTCGGTTTGTCCATCTCTGTCTCTGTGACCTCTGGCTCTGAGTCTCTCTCCCATCTCTCTCTGTGGACTCTGGCTCTGAGTCATCTCCTCCCCATCTCTGTCTCTGTGACATCTGGCTCCTGAGTCCTTGTCCTCCTCCCCGCATCTCTGTCCCTGTGGACTCTGGCTCCTGAGTCCTTGTCCCTCTCCCACATCCTCTGTCCCTGTGATCTGGCTCTCAGTCTCTGTCCTGTCCCCACTTCTGTCTCCTGCCCCATCTGTCTCTGTGACTCTGGCCTCCATAGTCCCTGTCTCTCCCCATCTCTGTCCCTGTGACCTGGCTCTCCAGTCTCTGTCTATCCCCATCCGTCTCTGTGTCTTGTCGTCGCCTCATCTCTGGCTCCTGAGTGTCCTGTCCCCCCATCTCTGTCTCTGTGACCTCTGGCTTGAGTCCCTATTTCCCTCCCCATCTCTGTCTCTGTGGACTCTGGCTCTGAGCTACATCTCTCCCCCATTCTCTGTCTCTGCTGACTCCTGGCTCTGAGTCCCCTATCTCTCCCCATCCTCTTGTCCCTGTGATCTGGGCTCCTCAGTCCTCTGCCTATCCCCATCTCGCTGGTCTCTGTCTCTCCCCATCCTCTGTCTCTGTGACTGTCCCCATCTCTGTCCTCTGTGACTCTGGCTGGTCACCGCCATCACCCTAAGCAACCTCTCCAGCTCCTCCCTGTGCCTGGGCCCTGCCCTCCAGCCCCGCCCTCACGGGCCTCCACACGTGTCCACAGTGTCCCTCCGCACTTTGGCCTGTCTTGGGCGTAGGAACTGGGCGTTGGCAGCCCCCGCCATCCGCACAGCACCCTCGCCGTGGCACTCGCCCTGGCGTGTGTGTCATCAGTCCCACCGCCGGCCCCGAGGGACGTGGAAGCAAGCCCGAGCGGTCCAGACCGGAGAGGGACCCAGGCCGGACAGACCGGCTCAGCCCGCTCCAGTCGCCACTCTCTGCCCACAGAAACTCTCTCCAGGTCTTCCTGGCAGCACGGCGCGCGCTCCCCTGACAACCCTGAGATCCACCTACGACTCCTTCTGCAGCAATGGAGTGATCCAATCACAGGCCAACCGCCGGAGGGGACTGCGAGCGGCGTGCAGATCAACGTCCCGGTGACATGGCCCGTTCCACCAAGGTCCTGTCCTGACATGGCTGGCAGGGTCCCAAGGACAGCTGAAGGATGCGAGGGTCCCTTTCCCAGTATGGTGGCAGGGTCCCCAGGACAAGCCGGAAGGAGGGGAAGGTCCCTTTCCCAGTATGGTGCAGGGTCCCAGGACAGCTGGAAGGAGGAAGGTCCCTTTCCCAGTATGGTAGGCAAGGTCCCAGGACAGCTGGAAGGAGGGAAAGGAATCCTTTCCCAGTATGGTGGCCAGGGTCCAGACAGCTGGAAGGAGGGAAGGTCCCTTTTCCCAGTATGGTGGCAGGGTCCCAGGACAGCTGGAAGGAGGAGGTCCTTTCCCCAGTATGGTGGCAGGGTCCCAGGACAGCTGAAGGAGGCGCCGTCCTTTCCGCAGTAATGGTGGGCAAGGGTCCCAGGACAGCTGGAAGGAGGGAATGTCCCTTTCCCAGATGGTGGCAAGGTCCCTAGGACGAGCTGGAAAGGAGGGAAGGTCCCTTTCCCGTACTGGTGCAGGGTCCCAGGACAGCTGGGAAGAGGGAAGGTCCCCTTTCC